AACCAAACACATATATTACCCCTATGTAAAAAAATAAAATAAAGGTTAGTAAAAGGCATTAGTATGACGAGTTAGTCTAGAGTCCTACTAGAATTATAATAAATGAAAATTTTTTGAATAGAACAACACCATCATATTAGTAAGCTTTATCCTCATTTACTAATAGCAACCTCTTATCCTGTTATCTAAAGTGCGATATTAATAAGAAAATCACTAAACCTATGTAAAGTATGCATATAAAATATGAAATGAAAGTTCTATATCCTGATCTATCATGTGACACTAAATACATAAATACTTTAAAAATTAAATCCCAACTATTGGCATAAAACAATTAAATAAATCCTTTTTTAGTATATAGATTAATCAAACTTAAAAATTTTTTATTTAAGAGGTAAATTTTGATTGTTACAAATTCAACTATTTTTGAATTACTTAATCTAATATAATAGAAGTGCTTATTGGTATAGCAGAATTTCATAAAGAATTGTTAATAGAAAAGTAGAAATATGTAGAGAGTTGCAAATATTAGAGATTAAGTCATTTAGCTATAAATATTAGTTAATAAATCTGCGTTAAGCTTATATTCTGAAAGCTTGCCAATACTATCTACATGATGTTATCCAATTGTTTAGTCAAAAAAATCCATTATATTTAATTTTACAAGCACCGGTGAAACTGTTACAAAGTCAGATGATACAAAATAAATTTAAAGATTTTATGGAAATTTAACATTTATGAACCTCAAATAGGATTAAAATTATAGAGTATCAAAAATCTCTAAACTTTAAGCTGGATCTCCAAATAATAGCATTAAACCACTACTGCATCCTAATCCAATCATCATGTAATTGCCTAATTATTAGAACTTATTTGCAGTATTTAATTCAGATAGGCTTAAGATCTTTGCTATTTATATTGGTAAAATTTATGTATTAGTTTATAAGGTTTATTCATATTCATCGATTATTCCATCTTAAATCAAGACCTCTAGTATAGGTTGATCAATTTATGGTTTTAAGAATTAAATTTCAAATTCATATAATGGATATTTAAGGGTTTATTCTACAATAGAAATTACAGGAATAATTAAAATACTATATTAGAATTTATCTAAGCCTATAATTTCTATTTAAATTGCTTCCGAAAAATTTGAAAACGAACCATTCCATCTAACTCTCTGGGTGAAAGACATTTAAATATATTACTTATCATAAGTTTAATTTAGAAAAGAGAGTAAAAAAGAAGTATAAGAGTAGCATCTATTAGGGACTTTTTGAGTACAATGCCAATTTTCTTCAATTTAACATTTATCCGAACATCCATCATAATTTAATTAATTTCCATCATCGCATTCTTCTTCCAATTACATAATTTAATCACCACAACTATTTTTTGTTTAGCCTTATTCTTAATTATCGTCATCTTCTACTTATTCTTGCTAATTTTCTAAAGTGGCTTAACAAGTTTGGCCATTCAATAGAATATAGCCTTCTAAACATAAAATACATTTTCCTTAATAGCATTTCTCACATTTTTCATGGCATTGAAATTAACATTAATAACACCCATCAAATTACTCCTAATTTTAGTCTTCACATTCTTCTAAGCCAATGACTACATGGCCATCCCCACAGATAGGTCGGCATCTTCCATTAATATTTTCAAAATAATTTTGACACAAATAACAAACATCTGTTGTTACACATGAATAGCAATACTGATCACATTAAAATTTACATTCATAACATCCATCATTTGGTTAAAAATTGCCATCATCGCATTACTCGATAGAAAGTTATGCTAATTTATTATCTCCACATATTTAATAGCAATGACTATCCAAAAGTTCCCAGCCCTCCTGGCAAACTTAACATTTTGTTCCTACACAAATTTGGCATTCTAATTAACAGCTTTTTTCACATTTATAGCATCCATCAAATTATTAATTGTTTTAATCATCACATATTTCTGTTTGGACAGTAATCCCATCATTACATAATGGTGTACAGTATTTTTTATTAAAACTAATTTAGTAATGAATATCACATTTCACACAATAATTATATAATTGTTAAAGACAATTTTCAATTTTTAAGGGATTCAAAATAAATGTATTTTTTCCATTTTAACTAAAGTGCTTTAAATTAATGTACTATTCCTATTCGAGAACACTTGTGAAATAATTAATACTGTCTTCATCTAATTTAATTTCTCCAAAGTTGATAGAAAGATTAAGACATTTGTTGTTAATCAAGTCTTTTGGGAATTTACATGTTAAACATTTTCCAAATTAGCAGACAAGACAATCTAAAGGACAAGAAAATTTGCATTCATGACAACCATCAAAAGGGATATTATTATCATCATCACATTCTTCGAATTATGTAATCTTCAAATCTCCACATTTAGGAATACAACTGTTAATTTAATTTACATATTCCCATCCATCTTAGCATTCAACACAAATTCCTTTTATGTAATTATTACATCCTTCGACAAAAGAATAAAGTTAAGGATAGCATCCATCAAAACGGTAAAGATTTTAATCTGTGCAAAAATCGAATAATTTTGAGGATTTTAAGAATAATTAAAAATCTCTAATCCCAAATTTTTAGTTTTAATTTGTAAAAGGTATTCCTAAAAATTCTACTATTATATCAATTTTAATAAGGTTATTTGTATGTTCGAGTTAAAAAACATTTATCTAAGATATTATAGTTTATGAACAGAAATTTACATTTGTATATACTTATTGATCTATTTACGAATTAACTATTAAATTATCATCTATGAAAATTCTGAATTTGGAAGAAATTGTATTGAAAGTTATTACCTTAAACTACAAACTTATAGCAATGTGATTATCTAACTCTATTGATTTCGAAAGATGGTCTCCAGGAGAAGTTAAATAATAAAAATCTAATTATATATATTTAAATTATAAATACCTGAACATTAGTTTCTAAGGGTTATTATTGTATCATCATAAAGCCATCCTTCTTAATCTGGAATAATCCCTAAAATTCTTCTAGTAAAAGATTTAATCTGTAAAATTTATTAAAGACAACCAAATTTGTTGCAAGAATTACAACCACTAGGACATGACGCAACATATAATGTAAATTCTGAAATTCCCCACCATCCCCCATTTGTAGAAGTCATTAAAATTTAAACCGTAGTACTTGAGTGATCGAAGACTTTTTCAATTTAATGTACGAAATCAGATTGTAAACTATTCCCACATAAATTAGTAGAACTATCATGATTAGAATATTGATCATTATGAATTTGAACGTTATCCTAATAAATAGAGAAATAATCATGATCATCCCATTAATCAATCCTATTTTTCAACAATTAAATACCTCCAAAAGGAAAATTTAATTGCAACCTAATAGTGTGGAGGTAATTCAAATGTTTTTGCTATGAATTAATTATTATCGAAGTTTTGATATCCTCCAAATAATATTGATGATCCACAGCTTGTTGTAGGAGACAATGCAGTATTTCTTCTATACCAATCTATTTGATTAAAAAAAAAAATTACTTTCAGCAGTAGAAAAGTCTCCAAAAAAGTTCTGATCAATTAAATGTTGTTGTTAGGCTTATACTACACAGCTTAAGTATTATAGGAGAATTAGCAGAGAAGTTTTTCTTGCTAAATACTCTATGATTTTAAATAGCAGCATTAAGGTTTCGAATAAGTAACAATTCATCTAACTTGTAAATGGAATTCAAGAAAATAAATGCATAAATTTTATTCAACATTAATGATTTAAGATAGCAAATAACTATTAATTCTGATTTGGGTCAACATATATAAGAAAATCACTATTTAATAATTCAATTTATATAAATGCTTATTAAATTTTATTTTATGGTTAAGATTTAATATCAATATATGTAATATAAATAACTAACCATAGAAAATTTCTATAGAATAATTATTAGCAGAGGTTCAAATAAGTAAATACTTTAAATATGTTATTTAAAAGCTTGGATTAACTATTGCTATTATTATTTATATAAATGATATAATAATTATTATTATAATTTTCAATCAGGAAGGATTTATTCTTGAAACTAAAACCTTGAAATTGATCTATAAATTTTATTCTGTTTTTCTTTTTTAAAATTAAATTATCTGAAAATACCAAAACAAAATTAGCTTAAATTATTAAATCAAAGAGAATACTACTCATATTGATTTTTTAAAATAGCCTATTTGTTTTTCTAGAGTATTTTGATTCTTTATAAACCTTTTTCATTCTAAAAAATAAGATTCTAATAGAACTATGTTTAACGAATAAAAAAATTTAATGTCTATGATGGTTTATTTTAAAAAGAGACTTCATCTAAAATTCTTATTTAAAAGACGACTTAAGAATCATAAATCCTATCATGATAATTTTCTTTCAAAATTTGAATTTTAGAAGCATAAATGAATGTGATATAACACATACTTCTTAAAAATATTCTTTAGTTTTTGTTATGGGGTAGATATGCTTAGAGTTTCTGTTTTAATTATAGAAGCTTTTTTCGGCTTATACCTCGTACCCATGCTATGATATATCAAAAACTCGAAATCAAGTTGGAAACTTGGCTTATTATTAAAAGATAATTGAAGGTATTTTAAAATGATTTTAGATTAATAAAATTAAAGTATTAATCTTATTAAAGTATATAAACTTAGAATGCATAAAAAAAGATTTCAGAAAATAAAGAAAATTTGATTTAACATTCATAAGTGATTACTAAAGATTAGTTTTTCAATATATATGGATAAATGAAAAATATTGCATATTATTTTCTTTAGAATTACTTAACATTTTTATTCATATTATTTGGTGAAAATATAACAACTCAATTAGAAAGGCTTTATAATATATGACCTTAAATCAGTTATAAATACTTTAATTAGAGAAAAATTAGAAATAATCTTAATAATAAGCTAATTATCTATATTAATTGAATTTTAACATTTTAATACATTTCTATCATGATTTATTAATAAATCCAAATAATCCTTATTTTTTTTGTTATGAAGCTTATTAATTTTATTATGATGGCTAATCATCAACTTTTAGTTAGTTTGAAGTGGCATTCTATTTTAAATTAAATTTTTTACAATTGCAGCTTATTTTGCAGCATCACTTGTAGCTGCTTGTTGACCTACTTTTTCTGCCGCATTTAAAGCCCAATCTGGAGCTCCAGGAATTTAACTTTTCACAGCAGCTTTGGCTGCTTATCCTCCAACATTTTTCATTTATTCTTTTACTTTATCATCTTCATAGAAGGCTGCTACAGTTTTATCAACTTATTAATTGTATTATTAAGTTAATGTTTAAGAAGAAGATGGTTTATTACCTTGTAAAGGATTAGTATTTTATTAAGCAGCTTATGGTTAGGGGGTTTTCGATAAAGTTCCAAATAAATTTGATGGAGGCTTCACTTAAGTTGTTTAAGGTGGTTGTTAAGATGATTAAGATTATGAGTACTGTTATGTATTTTGCTATTATTATTATTATTTTTAGGATTAAGCATCATTCATTTAATTTTTTAATGTATCATTAGATGTTTGAGCAGAAGGAACTTTATTAGATTCTGGTTTTTATGTAATAAGTTAAGTTTTTGGATCTTATTATTTTTATTATTATTATTATTACTATTATTATTAGGGTTTATTTTACTAGATTTATTATGATTATTGTTATTCAGCTGCTTGGTCTTCTTAAGAAGATAAAATGTATTCCGAAAGACTAAGATAATAGTATATAATACTCAGGGTCTCTTTTAATGATTTTTTAGGCATTTTTAAAAGTCTCAATTTCTTTATTTAATTTTTTTCTTTCTTCTACTATATTTTAATCTTCACTTATGGCTTAGAGGAGATATTGATTTTGCATTAAATTTTATTACAACTACATAAGCATTTTAGTCTATAATAAATTATTTATAATTTTATTACTTAACAGCCTTTTACTAAAAAGTAACCAACCAATTTAGGTATATTATCCCTTGTTGATCTAACAACTAATTTAAAATAATGCTCAATTTTATTCTTCAATTCGGCAACCATGTATTATCCCTTGACTGGTTAAGCCTCTTTAGCAGGTTTTCCAAATCTTATAAACTATTTACCAGCCAAATAATTAAAATCATTAGTGAAAACATAGTTCATCTCAGCATCCAATATATCCTGCACAGAATTGTAAGCATTTTATTTACACTCTTAAATAATTTCAAGTACCTATTCCTCCAACATTTTGAGAACAGATGGAATTCTAAATATTAAGTTTAAATTACGATTGTAATTAATCATCCAAAATTGCTATTGCATATTCTTCAAGGATAGAATAAGCTTCATCAATAATATTAAAGGCTGGTTATTACAATCTTTTTAATTCTGGATTTAATAAAGCATAAAATGCATCAACAGGGAGAAATCCAGGAATAGTTTAAGCAGAATATTTTTAGATAATTTGTGTAATATCATCTTCAGAATATTTCTTTAAGGCTTGGTAATCAAGATCATTAAACTCATCATATATTTCTTAGAATAATAGTTTTATTTTTGCTCCTGCTGGTACTTTGAAAAAATCATTTTTCTTTATTGATTTAACCTTTTAATAAGATCCTGTGATTGAGTTTTTAAATCTTACAGAGAATTCATGAACTAATTTCCAAATATAATGCATTTTATCCTAATGTTATTTGATTTAAATATACAGAATCTTCAACTGGCAGGCCTGGGCCCAAGACATCTAATCTTACTTATATTTTTGCAACTCTATTGTTTATCTCTTTCATTAATTCTGGAAGGAAACTTCTAATCCTTCTGTAAAGGATTGTTGTTAATTTTCTTGTTAAAACTTGGGTTCCAAAGATTTCTCCTGGAATAGTGGAATATACAGGATGATTTGCAAAAAAGTTTTTTTCTCTTAGAACTGCTTAAATAATCGGAATATTGTCATTAATTTCTTATTAAGATCTTAATTTGACCCCAACATAGCCATATTTTAATGGCACTTCTTCTCCCTTAAGCATTTTGAATGCATTTGTTCCCTAATCCATAATATCAATTTTAGTTAAGACTCCAATAGTTCGAATACCTATTAAACTAAGTATATATCATACCATCTGGATCTAATTTTTTAGCTAACAATAATGCATCAGATGTAGTCATATCAGCATTTGCTGCAACTACACATAATATAATAGCTAATTTGTCTTCGCAATATCTCTTAGCCATATTAGTTGTTATTTCTTCTATATTTGATGGCTAACCTGAAATTGGAATACGAGTAATTCCTGGAAGATCTAATGAAAAATATTTAAGATTTTTCGATACCAACTAATGTTAGATCAGGACAATTAGGTCCTTAGACTGCTAATATTATTGGCTTGTCTATAATGTTTTTAGCCTATCCACATACCTTATCAGTCAACTCAATTATTTATTATCGAACTTCCTCAAAATTAGTGAACTTTTTGCCTTTGATTTCTTCTACAAATTCTGCAGTAGGTATAGGACAAACACTTGCTGGAGCATTCGATAAACGCAATTCTAATGGTCTTCTTGTGACAACACCCTAAATTCAATAAAATAAGATTTACGGATCCTCTAGGGAGAAAATCTATTCCAACAATATGCTCTAGTAAAGAAGACTTTCCTGCAGATTGAATACCCAAAACAACAATTCTTGGCAATTTGATATAATCATTTAAACCAATATCTCTTAATTGATCAACTAATGTGATCACTTTTCTTAAATTTTCTAATAAGCTCACACCTTATGAATTTGACATAAAAATAAATATTTAATATCATTCTATTTTAAATAAGCCTTATATAATAATTATTATTAGTATCAAATATTTCACCATCTAAAGGATAAGTAATTGAAAATATCTTCAAAAATATCCTGTTCAATCAGAAAAACGATTATTAAGAATAAAAAATGTAATTAATTTATATGTTTAATGAATTTCTTAAAATTGCAGTAAGTTATTAAAATTCTTGAATAATTAGTTTGATTTTTTCATTTACTATATATATTGATTGAATATGATATAACATGTAGTAAACTATATTAATAATTTTTATAAAATAATCAATATTATATTATTTTAATTAATGTCTTAGTTGTCAGAATCCTCAGAGTTATTTGTAAATTGTGATGAAGAAGTTACTTCAATATGTAAAAAGCTGTAATAAATTTTAACTACTGTTGATACCCAAGAAGATAAAATATTTGCTTTGAAAGAGGCATAAAGTTGTATTGATTCTGCTAATGAAAATGTAAATGTTTTGATAAATGAAGTTAAAATAAATGGAAGTAGAATTATAAGGTTTTGCTAAAAATATTAAAGATAATTTAAAAGAGTAATTCATTATGCAAAAAAGAAAATTGGAAGAAATGAAAAAGGTTTATAATTAGATGAAATCTAAATATGAAAGCATAACATCAAAAGACTAATTATTTGGTAAAGATTAATAAAGGTAAAACCTTCTCAAATAGTAAGAAAAACTATATGATTAAAATATGAAAATATAAGATGCGAAAGTGGTGATGTACGGTTTAGAGAAGGAGGCGAATGACATTTAAATAAATCTTCACATACAAACAAATAAGATAAAAGGTAGTATTGGAAAATAATAACGTAAATATATTGTGCAATTTTAGCTATTAGGGATGCATTAAGTAATTCATATACTTTAATAAAAACTATGTAACATAGAATTAGAAATAACAAACTAGTATTATTTGTAGTTTGTGGAATCATTTTGTTTGCACTTCTTATAATTATATTTATGCATATGTGATTTCTAAAACGATTATATATTATAATTGTAAAATAAAGTTTAAGAAAGTTTAGTAAATACATATATATATTCAAATCTTCTCAATAAATTGAACAAATTTCAAGACCTATAAATTTGTACATTTACAAATGGATTATTAATTTTATAATATAATTTTTTCAAAACTCACTTATAAATAGATTTTAGAGTATTATATGCAATTATTTTGATAAATTTATTATTAGTATAATTGTTAAGATTCCATTTAATATGATTATTTACTGATCTAAGATTAAAAAGGACTAAAATTTATAAATAAAATAATAAAAAAATGATAAAATTGGGACATATGTTAGCACAAGAGTAAGCTAGATTAAGATCAGAAATGCAGGTTGCATCTAAATAAAAGAAATTTCGAAATGCTACAGCATCTACATTGTAAAAAGCACACTAACAACAAGCTATCCAAATATATCGAAAACTTCCACTTTGTTATAAGCTAGTCCAACCAACTCCACAAATGTTATCAGTTACAATTGTTCACCAATATCATCATAAAAATATTATTCATTTTCTCCTGATCCAGATTAAATGATTGGTTTGAAGAAAAACTATGTATAGACATCTTACAAAAACAAACTAGAAACCATTTAATTGGCACCTAATAAGCCTCCATTAAAAAGAGGAAATAAAGTTACTAATTTGAGAAATATTAATAACAATAATGCAAGTTAGCCTCATTCTATTAGAAATGAAGAATCAAAAGAAAAGCTATTAGAATAAACTCACTTTTTATGTGCAATTATGTAATAATAACATAGTGCAACTGGTAAGATTGTTGCCAATTTTTTAAATGGAAATCTAGAAAAAAATAGCTATGAATCTATAATTTAGATGGAGAAATCTGCATAAGCATTATAATAATCTGCAAAAGAAATGTCAAAAGCTTTATATGCATCTGATGATGAAGGAGAATTTGAGAATTTATAAAATAAATTTATAGATCAAATAAGATTCTCCAAATACAGAAAACCAACTTAAGAAAAGAATATTGTATTTAAAAGAAATTATGGTTAAAAACATGAAATGATGATAGATTAAGTGGCTTAATAGAGATAAAAAACAGAAGAGAATTAAGATTTTGATGTGTTTATACCAAAATCATAAATGGATTAATTTTTCAAGTAGAATTATTATAATTATTTAGAATAATTTAAGATAAAATAGATGGAAGAATGAAAGAATAGACTGAATAATTAATAAAAGAAGAATAAAAACTAGTAAATGGTATGATAACAAATGTTAAGAAATTTCGTGAAGATATAAGGGAAGTAAAATATACAATGAATCATGTAAGAAAGAATAAAAAGGCATTATAATAATAATAACCTTAAAATACCTTAAGAACTTTAAGAACTATGAAATCATAATCTTCTGTTAGAATGAAAAGTGACTAAGTAACAAAACTAGATGAAGATGCTAAAGCTGATTTAAAATTGAGAGTGATGAAAGCCTTAAGAAATTTCATGGATAAATTGAAAAGATTTAATATCACACTGGAAGATGTAGTAAACAATCAAGTTTTTCCAAGTTAAGCATACGAGAGACCTAATAGTGTTGAATTTTTTAGACAAGTTAAAGCTGATAATATAAGAGAAATTGAAAATATGTTACGTGATTGTAGATATCATGTTTATGATAGAGATAATTAATAAAAAACTGCATTACATCATGCTGTTAGTATTAATTCTATTGAAGCTATTAAATTATTAGTAGAAAATGGTGCTGATCTAGATGCTAGAGATATGAGTAATATAAATAAATATTTTAGTGGGAAGAACTCCTTTGCATATAGCAGCAAAAAATAATAATTGTGATACCGTTAGGGTATTATTAGTCTATTAGGCTAATCCTTCTATTAAAACTGTTGCAGGTAAAACTGCATAGGATCTTACTGAAATGCCTGTTATTAAAGCTCTTGTTAAAAATGCTAAAAAAGTAAGAATTATATATAAAATAGTTACATTTTATGATGAATTTATAACCAAACAACAAGAAAAAAGATTTTTGGGTAGAAAAAGCTGTTGTCTATTTTCAGGAAGATGATCCAGAAAAGATTTTAAAATTACAACTATATAAAACTCAAGCAAAGTTGTTTTTATAATGATTTTATAATCCTAATTTTGTATTTTACTATTAATTTAATAAAATGGAAGAAATTAATACTTAAAAATAAGAGGATTCTCCAGCTCCATCTGGTAGTTTAATTGTTAACATTGAAAAGATGTAAAGGGATTCAGTTACAGAAGATAAAATATAACCTGAAGAAGATATTGAATTATAAGCACTATTTAATAAATTAAATTCAACTATTGATGAAACACCATTTCATGAAACAAAATGTCAAAAATAGAAGCAAGATTTATCATACAAAGCAGAATTTATAATGACTCATTTTATAAAATTCTATATCTATTAGTTGGTAAGATCTAAATTTTTAAAGTTAGATGTTTTATATTTTTGGGCCATTGATTTTTTTTTTCCTTTTAAATAAACCAGCTTTAATGTTTAATTTAGGATTTTGGTCTTGGAGATAAGATGTAGTTTTTCAATATATACAATGGATAGGACACATATTTTGTCTTTTAATGTATTTTTATTTCTAATCTCTCTCTTCATTGGAAATAGGACTCTTATGGTTTTCATTATTGACTAGATCAATAATAGTTGCTGCTAAATTCTCAACTCTTAATGAGGAACGAGTTGAACTTTATGAAAGGAATCGTTTAAGTAAAAAAACAATTTACTTTGATGTTGTATTATTTGATTGGTCAATTCAATCGAAAAAAATCAAATATTTAGAAATAGCTAAGGCAGCCAAAAGACATGATTTTGATACACAATTTTTTTACTTTGATTTCTTAGTTGAACCTATGAAAGAAACTCAAAAAGCATTATTAGATGATTAGGAAACCTTGTTAAATCTACCTCATGATGGCACTTATAGTGGAATAAATTTGATATCCTATTTTATAGATTCTTATTAACAGTTAAACACAAGAAAAAATCAACTAAGCTTAGCTCTTCTTATTAGTTTTATTGTTGTAATTACTCCAAAAGCTTTAGCTTATGAGAGATATCTATAAAATCCTGTTGAAATATTTTTAAATATTGTCTGTGGAATATTCTAGATTATATAGTTTAACTGTATATTCTTATACTTACTTATTTCTCTTGAGGATATGAAAAGAAAGATATTTTTATTAGATTAAGTGTATTATTTAATAAGCACTAAAAGAGTACGTTGTAAAGAATTTAAATTAACACCAACTATCGACATCAATTGTCCAAGAACAATAGAGGCCTGGAGTATGTTAAGATCTATAACTTTTGATTATGGAGCATCTTATCACATACGAAATTAAATATATCATACAATTTTAATTTTATGTTGTGTTGCAAGTCTTGTTTTTGCTTTCTAAATAATTTTGGATTATTTTTAATTGGATTATTACTATTTGATTACTTTGGGAATTGTCTTTTTAATATTTTTAATTTTTATATCCTTATATTTATTAAGTGCAGCTACAATTAATTAATTTTTTGAAGATTTTAAAACTTAGATTGAAAATTTAAAATTTATTTGTTAAGACGTCAGAAGAATGAGGAAATAATATTTTGAAGATAATAATTCAGAGCCTTAGAATTTTGTTCATAAATCTTTTGTTAACCATCTTAAGGCTTAACATAATAATAATAACCTAATTATATATTAAAGAATAGATAACTTGATTGATTCTTTAGATAATGCTTAAAGACATATTGAATATGATAGCAGAAATTACCCCTTGAAATTATATGGAATTAAGATAACCTATGAAATCCTATAAAATTTGGTTGTTGGTTTATTTACAGTAATTAGTTTTGTAGTTCAACAAAGATTTTCATCTTGATTATAATTTTTATTAATAAATAATACAATTAATTTAATTTCAAATATCGTAAATGAAAGAAGCATCCAATATCAATGATGAAAAAAGACCTTTGGCATCTATTCCATTGTAAACCTTCCTTTATTTTGATTATATTTTTACAGTATTGATATCATAGTTATAGTTAGTACATATATTTCATAATAGAAATAATTGTCTTTATTTACAAGGGATATGGATTATTTTATCCTCCAAATAAAATAGGAATTGAAATATTCTTACAATTTCTATTGGCATTTTGCTAATTCCCTAGATTGATATTAGGATCGATTGGTAATAAAACTGAATCTCCTTCATAAATTTTATGGTATTAAAAATGACTATTTTAGGTTTGTTTTACTAATTTTCCCTTGCATATTCTTTTACATATTTTTCATAGTCTTATAAACTTATGTGGTTATTTTGGAGATAATAATAAATGTGATTGCCTTGATATTTATAGTCTTTGAATTATTATTTAGCTTATCAGCATTTTTAACTTTTAAAAACTATGAGAAGCAACAATGAGTTGGAAATTATTGATATTTTATATAGTTAATTAGCAATAATAAATTTACATTATAAATTTAATATGATAAATAGAAGACGACAGCAGAATTATTAATGATGATGAATCATTAATTTCTAATGATCATTAAGTGAATGAAACTTATATAAAATAATATAAGAAAGTTAAATTACTTCGAGTGGGAGCATATGGTAAAGCATATTTAGTTACATCCAATGATTAAGATGAAACTAATTATGTTATGAAAGTAGTACCTTAATCCATTTCAGCAAATACAGAAGCATAAATATAATAAAATCTTAAACATGATAACATTATCTAATATTTTGAAACTTTTATTGAGAATAAAGACAGATTATGTTTAATTATGGAATATGCAAATAGTAATATAATTCATTTTCATCTATTAGATGGCACTCTTGGTCAGGATTTAAAATAAAGAACACAACCTTTGCCTGAAGCATAAATAGATGATTTGTTTACTCAATTATGTTTAGCTTTGAAATGTGTACATTCTTAAAAGATAATTCATAGAGATATCAAATCAGAAAATGTTTTTTTGCATGATGATAAAATTAAATTAGGAGATTTTGGAATTGCTAGATCAGTTGAATAAGATTTGGCTACTGCATTTATAGGTTCTCCCTATTATATTTCACCTGAAATAATACAAAATTAACCTTATTCATACAAAAGTGATATATGGTCATTGGGTGTTCTTCTTTATGAAATGTGCACATTTAAATATCCATTTACTGCTGATTCATTACCAGCACTAGCCATTAAAGATAGTGAAAACAAAAATATCACCAATAAGTGCTTAGTAATATTCTCAAAATATGAAAAATTTAATTCAACAAATTTTATAATTACATTAAGATACCTGCTTAACCTATTTAAAGTAAAGTTATTTTTGAGATTAGAGAAATAACAACACTAGGTAGTTATAAAAAAAGATGAATATATACAAAACAAAAAATTATCAAGAGAAGAATAATAAAAATTCATGAGAGAAGATATCTAAAAGAAAGTAAATTATATTTTCAATATAGAAATGTCAAAAAAAACCTTAAAAAGTAGTTATAGAATTATTTGGTTAGCCTAAAATAAAATAAGAGTAATAATAATAATAAATCACTTAAAATGATAAAAAATAATCAAAAGGAAGAGATATTCCAGTCGAAATTTATTTACCTTCTATTTTCAAGATCTGAGTTCTTGGAGTAATAATAAGAATAATAATAACAAGAATAATAAGAATAATAATTATATTAACCTAAAAAAGAAATTGATAATAATATGAATTAATTACTTTTAGAAAGATAATCTTCTGAAATTTAACAACTCAAGGAGTTAATGATTCAAATAAAGAAAAATAAGTACCCAAAAAATAAGAAATTGTTAAAAATTATCTTAGGAAACTTAGGCTGTTAATAAAACCTATCATAAAATTAAGCTTTGAAAGAGCAGAAAAATAAGAATGAAATTGGAATAAGTCTTTTGATCTGATTAGTTCTTAAGACTAGATTAAGTTTTTAAGAATTTAAGAGAAAAAAAAACTTAAGATTAAATTTATGAATAGTATGGACCTAGTTATCAAAATTTTATTCCAGATATAAATTAGCAGTGTATGTAAGAATAATAATCAAATTTATTTATGTTACTGGATTTTGATATGGAGCAATGAAATTCATATAAGGTGACTTTTATATATATATAAATTTTATCGTTATTTATAATAAGTTTGATAATTTAATAATAATTCTCATATATGTTTTAATTATTTTCTAAATATTAGATTATGTAGCTTTTAAGATCATAAATTTGAAGAGATCACCAGGATATTTTTGAAATTATTCAATTAATTTTACACTTTGGAAACATTTAAGAATAGTTTAACCAAATATTTCAAAAATTGAAAATATTCTATTAATAATTCAATAGTCAAATAGATAATAATAATAAAATTTCAGGCTCTTAGATCTTAAATATAATAATGATTCGATAATTTAATTAATTTTGATTAAATTAAGCAAAATACTCTCATTTTATTCAGATATTTTAAATAATCTATTTATAGTATGTATATGGAATAAGAAAATCATAGTTTATAAATAACATCCTTAATAATCGAATTTGAATATTATCACAAATTTAATATTCCATATACATAATATATCCTATGTACATGAATTAGAGTTTGCCTTTCAAAAATTTTAAATAAATTCTTACTTTAATCTAAATTATAATATTAATTCATGATCTTTAAGGTAATTAATGATAGTATCATAATTCTAATTTTAATTTTTAGTAGGATCTTATTGAAAGATTTGGTGTTTTGTAAGATTAGAAATTAGTTCGATAAATGGCACTACAAGATTCTCATTTTGGTTGAATTTTTTTCAAATTATAATATTTTATAAAAAACTCATGGATTTGGATCACTATAACTATCTTAAAAAGAGAGATATAAAATTTGAATTAATTATACCTGAAGAAATGCTTCTAAGATTGGAGATGCTTATCCATTGGATCTTTTAGGTTTGATATTTTTTCTAATATAAGGTTGGTGAGTAAAATAATTTGGAAATAAAAACAATTGAATTAGCTGCCATTCTAAGTAAATTATTTGTTTCAAAATACCAAATCCATTGTGACAAAGCAGATTTGTTAGGAATAGCTTCATTAATGATTGCAGTAAAGGTAAGAATATATATATATTTTATTAGTTCAATGAATGTCAAACCAAAATCCAAATGAATATATAAGACTGCGTCGACTAATGTTAATCTAAATATAGTTCTAGAGAAATAATAGATATGGAAATGAGTATTCTATCTCTTATTGAATATGACGCAAATATTACTACTATAACTGATTATTTTGAGGGTGAAGCCATATAAACTGACTTAGTTTTGTTTGTAACTCTTGATTCTGAATTTCTATACTTTCAAAAATATGAATTGTTTGAGGCAATTAGAAATTTTTACTCAAAAGATACATCAAACTTATCTGAAAATACAAAAAATGTATTTAAATGAATTAGTCTTAGATAATCAGCAAAATTAGTACTAAAATTTAACATTTGACTACAAAAGATGAAAAAAACACTCCAAAAATAAAAAAGAAAATGATAAGCAAAAAAGGCTTCAAAAGATTAAGAATATGTAGTTCATAAAGCCTAACACTATGAAATAATATGATTTCAATTCTATTTTTATGATTATAACCACTGTTTAAATAGTGGATATTTAAATATGTTTTTATCTTCATACTAAATCCAATCCTAATCATAGTTAATTTCTTCAAGTTGATTAATTATTTTGAAATTTTTTGGAGGGAAACCTAGGAATTATGTGATATTTGAATTTGAATAATTATTCATTATATATAAAATACATACACAATTATAATATAATCATATTATTATATATTTTAATCTAAATTAAATTACATTAACATGTTTAAGTATAAATATTGTATTTAACTATGTAAAAACTTTCAATAAATATTTTTTCTTATAGATTATTTGTCAATTATACTATTAAAAAAATATATTATTATGAAATATATACTTGAAAATGATGAAGAATTTTTGAATTAAAATCTTTTATTTTTAATTAAAATATGGTTGTCAAGTCACTTGCTCATAAAAGAATTGTTCACAAGAGAACAAAGAGATTTGTTAGATTTGAATCAGAAGACTATCCTCATAAATTAAGACCAAGCTGGAGAAGACCAAGAGGTATTGATAACAGAGTCAGAAGAAGATTTAGAGGAAATAGACCTATGCCAAAAGCTGGTTATAGAGGTGATAAAAAGACAAGGTATTGTGAAATCAAATGACATTTTAGATACTTAGATTAAACTGGTTTCAGAAAATTGTTAATTACCAATGAAAAAGATCTTGAATTATTGCTAACAAATAATAGAACTTTTGCAGGTGAATTAGCACACAATCTTTCAGCTAGAAAAAGAGCAACTCTTGTTAGAAGAGCAGCTGAACTTAATGTTAGATTAACAAATGGAAAAGGTAAAATTAGAGCAGAAGAGAAAAAGGAATGATTAATTTCTGTTGTACAATATAAATATATATATATATGCATTTTCTATTAAGGTTTTCATCATTAATTTTATGAGTATTTATTTGTTTTATACATACTTTATCATAAATGAATGAAATTATTAGAAAGAATAATATGTTGTTGTTTTATAATAAAACTGATAGATTTCTTTGGAAATAATTAGACCATATAAGTTTTTCAAGTATACCTTTATAAATTTCATCTCGATTAATTATATTAAATGTATTATGGATAAATTGATTTATTATATTTCAGTTTCAGATTTATAATATTAATATTGTAAATCTATAGTAAACTCCTCCAGAATCCATAATTCTCTTTAAATTTTAGGTGAAATAATCGTTTATTTATTTTATATGTTAATCTCATAAATTGAGAAATCAATTAGATCTATATTCTTGTGACTCTGAAATTTTGGGTCTTGATTATATAACCAAAAGGTTATAAAACATACTTCATGGTATTAGAGTTAATCTATGTTTATGAATTAAGATAATTTAAAATAACCAAATCTAAGATGTTATATAATTATATAGCTTCTAAAAGCTCTTTAATAAAAAAATCAACATATCAAAAGTTTCTACTATTATCAATAATGGTTCCTTTTGATTTATCACTTTAAGCTGATTGACATTATATTTAATGTAATTATTTTGTATTAAATTAAAAATAAAAGAATCTTTTGAATAAAAATAGAGGAAGATATATGAAAAATTTAATTTAATTTCTTATGTTCTTTATTTTTGAATATTTCATTGTCTTAACTTTTTATATTAAATATTTTATAATATATATCAAAATTTATACTTCAATTTATATATGAAACGAATTAATATAATACTTAAAACTATTTATGAAAAGCTAATTTTTTTTAACTCTTATCTAACTTTTAATTTTATTCAGTAAATACAAATTTATAAATATATTATCTATCATAAAATTAAAGGTATCATTATAAACATCAAATTATTATACTATTTTAAGTTTCTAGATACAATGATATAATTTTTTGATTTATAATTTATTTTTGTATGTAGATTTTTATTTATTCTTAATTTTAATTATAATGAATATTGTTAAGTCCTTATTGCTCATATATAGTTTACTTGCTATGCCAACTTTATAGTGTAGTCAATCATGTTTTTGCAGAAAATATTTCACATTAAGGATTCGTACTTAAATTAGAGGATAATATAAAAATATTTTATAATAAAATAATGGAGCATTGATTTCTAATAGAAATTAAATTAGCTTTGCAGGTAATTAGTTCAACCGGAGTCCTTTAAGATCAGAAGTTTATTATGTAAATGGAGGAAGAGGATACACTAGTTAAATTATAGGAAGATATCTGATAATTGATTTACCATAAACTTATGAGATTAATACAATCATATTTTGGGTTTATGATAGAGATGCTACTTTACGAAGGTTTAATTTATAGGTCTATATTTAAAACTCTCAAGGTCAAAGACAATTAATTTATTAAAATACAGCAGCTACAAGTATTACAAAAATAAAGTTTAATGACACTTTTGTTAAATAAATACTGTTTTATAATAATAATGGAAGTTCATTGAATTAATATTTACATTTCTTAAATTTATAAGCATATTTTGATTTTTGAAGTAATTAATTTCAATCTGTATTAAAAATAATTTAAAGAAAGGTTTTAATTTTTGAAAAGAAAATTTGGAATCCATCACAACAGATTTTGAGTAAAATTCATAATTATAATAAAATTATTATAATATAATTTAATCATTATTCTTCTTATTATTGATCATCTTATTTATCTTAAGCTTTTGGTGAATCTAATACATTTGGGATTTCATTTTAATTGTTCTACTAATTTTAATTTGCCTCATCTTCAGGAAAAGACTATTAATTATTCTAATCCTCTTATTTAGATTCAGAATCCTTTTTATCTTAATTTAAATTATCATTTTAATCTTCATTTTCGTCTTTATTTGTATCATTTTATAGATTTGGTTCATTTATTTCATTTATTTATTCAATAGATATTTTAGAAGATTAATCCTTATCAGATTCATCAATATGTGGTCTTTCTTAATTTCGTTATACACCATCTTCCTCACTATTAAAATTTGAAATATCTTTATTTTAATCTCTAAAAATAAGTATTTTTTTAATTACTCTTTTTATTTGGGTTAAAGATATTTTTCTGCAAATTCTTTAGCAGTCATTGTTAATGCTGATTCTAATTCTTCAAAAGCAGTTTTTTACATTTACTAAGTGTTTTGTAACTTTTATAGTAAATCCATTTCATATGTTTCAATTTGCTCAATCTCTATAATAATTGCTCTTCAAATACCTTTCTATTTTCCATCTTTTAACTTTTGTTCAAAGTCTAATTTCTTTCCTAATTATTCTCTTATAGCTTCTCTTTTTTCCATAACAATTCTT